TATCACTTTTTTCAATTACATCTGTGGAAGTCATAAGAAGTTTTTCAGCCTACAAAACTTTATTATCAGAATACACCGATCTWTTTTATTTYAAAATATTAAACACACTTTAATTGTTCAGCATACGTGTTCATTTAACACATTTATTGTTYAAAAGTATTTAAGTGAATTCAATTTTAATTGTTTAAGCAATAGAAACATATTTAATGTATATAAAAATTTTATTAATTATAATTATTAATTACAATTTATGATACATGAATTCTATAATCATAATGTCATTTTTTGTTGTGTGCATTTTTTAAAGATTTTTAGATCATCAAGTTCCGGGCCCTAAATTATTATGTATTTATGTTATATCATGTTCATATGGTTATCACTTATCAGTATTTTCTTAATTAGATAGATTGAACTATGTTTGCGTAGAAACGCAGATATATGTATGCAAGTGTTTAAATAAGTTCGTGATATAAATAGCTAAATAATTGTCCAAATATTTTGAAAATTAATTATGTATATAAACTAATAATATATTATGTAACGATGAAAGATTTTAAGTTTCTACAATTTATATTTTGAATTTTTTTTCTTTTTATGATGAATTGAAAAAAATTGAACAAACGTTTAATGCAAAAAATGTTTAAAAAAGTATTGTAAATAAGTATTTAAGTTTTTATTTTTGATATAAAAAAACATTTTATTAATTCAAATAAAAAAAAGCTATTGACATAGAATAACTCATTTCACATTAGTTACATCACATATAAAACTTTTAACCAAAACGTTATTAATTATTATAGCTCAACAGTTATAATATAAAATGTTAGTATTAAAATTCAACAGTTACCACAGTGAATATATTATAGTTATAGTTTTATAGTGAATAATTATAATAATAAAATGGTATTTAAATATAATATATTATATTATATTAATAATCATAAAATCTAAAATAAATTAAAAGTGTAGGTTCTAGTAGACAGTGGTAGAAATAACGTAAGTATTTCTAATGAGTAATGATGTTATGATATTAGGTAATAATGAGAAAGAAATAGTAATAAGTAAATTAATTAACGCAAGAAGCTTTTAAAKCCATGTAGATGGTATTGAACTATTGTTTAGGTAATATGATTTTACCATAGGAGTCAGAACCATTGGAGTAAGGTGGTTTTGCCTCGATAACTGCAGGAGAGTTGAGATAGAA